AGGCAGAGAAAATGGATGCACAAGGGGACAAGAAACTATTAATTTTTTTTATTTTTTATCTGGCCTTAACTTTTGAGCACAAACAGTAAACCTAATTAACCCACAAATGCAGTGCAAGTGAAGGTTCTTTTTTTAGAAAACTTATTAAATGTTCATGATTATTAGAAATATCTAATCTGATAGGTGTACAAAAATACGCTATTAAAAACATCTGATAAATACCCTAGTGTATGAGTTGCCCCTGAGATAGGTGTGAACTCTGACACAGGGGGTATTAATCTGCAGAAAAAATTTTTTGTCATGTAAATCAAATACCAAAACCTACCAACTTAATAGCTTAAGAAATCATATTTTGCTTCTTTTTACTAATTACGTATTAATATCGTCTCCCTGATACAGCTGCTCATGTCAAAATATGAGTTAGAAAAGCTAATTAAACATAACAATTTTGTCCCAGCCTTATGGTATACTAGAGTCTTAATCATAACATGCAGTATCAGTACACAGTATTATATTGTATGACTGTTAATAGATAATCATAGTGGCCATTCATAGCATAAATTGTGCTTTTTGGCATAATTTGGATCCCCTGTAGCATGTAGCATTAATGCTGAACTTAATTTCCTGAAAATGTAGCATAACGTAGCATAACTTAATTTATGTAAATTGCATTACATTTTGAAAAATGACTGAGAGTGCCAATCAGAGCATCTTGAGTGTCTATTTTTAAGATGTTCTCACTTCACCTAGAAGAGCAATTAGGTAAGGGGGTGTGGCAACAAACGTGCTAAATCCAATTTTAGCAAAACACGCTATTTAATGTATGCCATAAGTACTGCATAGATGAATGTCGTGTATTTAGGTACCACAATGTTAGTTAGCAGGCATTTATATATATCCACTATTTCAGGAGTAGCATCGTTAGTATAATTCTACTCCAGTCACTGGCATAATTTCATTTGAAACTGTGGCCACGCTGAAGAACACACAGACAGAACATGAGGTAGACATTCTCTACATATAAACACTAAACTAAAAAACAAATGCGATGCAGTACTCTACAGTAATCATGCAATCCTAGTACATTGTATTTCATAATTATCTGCCAGTCTCATTCAATACCATAACTTTTTTCTCATGGGGGCCTGATTTGCAATCTTACGCATGATAACTATCTTCTCACGCACAATTAGCAATTTTGTTGGCGCATTTCCCATAATTAAGCTGGGAGGGCAATTTCTCAACGTAATGTCCCAATATATTATACTGTACATAGTCACTCTACATTATGTACGAGTGTTCTATATTTTGGGCTTCACTTCATTGAGAAATTTGCATGATTTTTTGTAACTTAAATTGACTTTCAGAATGCATTTCCTAATTTTCTATAATACACAGTACAGTATTCAAAATGCTACAAACTGGATGATCTCCATGGCAGAAACTATTCAATTTCATTACCCCGTCCCATAATGTACATAGGTGTAGAGGCCTTTGAAGTTTGAAATTATTGCAAATACCAGAAAATGTCAAAAACTTATTTACTGCACCCTTCCTAATATTATTTGTTGGTCAACAGCTTTTTCAGAAGGCAAAACAACCTGAAATCTTCCATAACTTTATAACGAGTGATCAGCCATTTCATTTTCAGCAGTACTGTAGATAATAATTGTAAGGAATGAATTTTGTGGCTCTAATCCTTACCTATAGATATACTGTATGATAACTGTATCATTATAATGTGTAGTGACAATGTTAAGTTTGAAAATAAGGTAAAAAAAAATAAGGGCCCTCATCCCAATTAAACACACTCTCACATAGTCAATGTGGCAAAAGACTATATCATTCCACATGAGACGTAAAGTGTTAGTAAATAAAAAGAAAACTAAATAGTAAGATACTGAGGAATTAAAAAAAGCGCACGCCATAGAACATTTTCAAGTGACAACACCTTGTTAACAATCAATTAAGAATGATGGAAAATATTCAATGATGCTAAATTTACAAGCAGGTCTTTTTTTTTTTAGTAATTTCTCTCTTCTTTATGGTTAATAGTCTTTTTTTATGACTTCTTATTAGATACTCTTTTTTTAAGGCCCCTATTGGGAAGGCCTCATCAGAAGTAAGTCCTGGACTTTAATGGGTTGTCTGGGCATCCTCATTATTCTCTTCGAAGGGAAATGTAAAAAAAAAATAATAATATTTTTACAAATGTTTATATAAACGCAATTTATCTTTGAGTACTTCTTTGCCTATGTTTTATATATCTTGTAATTTAAAAAATTTTAATGAAACAAAATTTTAGTTTAAAAAAAAACCAAATTCAATAGTTAACACTAAACAATTACTACACTTCAGATTTTCTTCTTTAGTGTAACAAATAGAGTCTGCAGTATAATTCTTAGATACTTAGCTAATTCTATTATCTTTTTTATCATATCATTATGATTCACCATTCCAATTTGCTAAGTGGGCTAGCTAACTAGCCATTCTACAGACAAATTGCGTATCTTGAGATGACTGTGCGGTTCACGCCATGAGGGGTCATAGGTATTGGTCTCTTCTCGGCAGATAGCTGCGGCATTATATTCCAGGGTTGTGTTGCTATGATTGCCAGGGAGTAGTAACTTAATCCACTGACCTAAGCACTCAAACAACAAAATGAAAATAGCTGACTGCTGCTCTTATTATTATTATTTATTCATACCATAGGTGTTCATGCACTTCTATTCAATTTACTGCCTCAAAATACCAACTTACTAATAACTTACTAACTTACCAACTTGTATACTAGTAGTACACAACAACACAGAAACAACAGGCATTTGGGAGAAAAGAATCTGTTGTACAACATAACAAAGAATGTTTTCTTCCAGAGGATGGCTTTAATAATATGAAGAATAGTGCAATTATCAATTTATACCAATTGCATATTTTATACAGTATTGGTAGGGGAACTCTATTCCTCATCTTCATTGTTTATATTGTTTATCCACTCAGGCTTGCATGTTACTATTCTATGTGCCTATTGTTTTATTGAAACTACTATTTATCTCATGTTGAAATGGTATACACCCATCATTGGTTTTTTTTTTCCTGTACTCTTTTCTGTACACTTATTAAAGATGTTCACTAAAGTGCACTACAGAAAGAGATTATTTTGAATTAAAGTTTGTTAAAAGGTGAGTCAGTCTGTCTACCACATACTATTACTAAGTGAACACAGCGACAGATAGGCCTATACGCTCAAAACGGTAACACTGAACAGTGTGATCATTCACATTTTTAATAGCAAAAAGGATGGTGTCATTATTGTCAAAATTATGACAAATATTAGTTACTGTTATATATAATTACAGTATAATAATAATTTTATTTTATTAATGCTAGACAATAATAATCAAGTACTAAAATAAACAATGCATTTAGTAACCAAATAATACATTTCATTAATTTTACAAGGAAAATTAGTTAGAATGTCTTCCGGATACAACGTTTAAAACTTTGTGATGATTCAATGGCAAATACCATCTTTGATTTATTCTTGTGTGTTTTCATCTAAAAAGAAATACAACAGACCTAATAAACTTTGGCCATTTACAACATCTACATGATCCGACAATGGGAAACACGCATACACTTCTTTTTTAATGAGAACACATTTTATAAGAATGCTGTGGCTGAAATTATTTAAAAACTAAGAACAAAACAAAAACAGATTGAGGCTGAGTTAAAATGTCAAATCAGGTTTACTTTTTGTAATAGAAAAAAACAACAAATCTTATGTGTAGACAGTACATTGTGCAGTATGGTAGGTGTGGCTATGTTATAGGCTACCCTCTATAATACAGGTACAGTTACTGCTGTACAGGTTAAAATTAATAATTTTCTATCTTTTTATTAAGAACATTCTGAGCATTCAAAAAATAGCAAAAAAGGAAAAAAAACACTAAAGCCTGGGCAAAATACTTACGGTTCAAAAATAAACTTATAGTGCTCATTAGTAATTATATCCCTTATATAATGGATCCATTTTAAGTCATCAAAATTTGAAATCCATTGGTATTTTCAATTCCAACATTGTTGCCTTTTAACTTCACCTTTCACAACACCTACAACGAAATGCAGACCGACTGATAAAGAGCCAACTGTGAGTACCTGGTTAGAACTGTACCTGCCCAAACAATCTAATCAAACTAACATCAACTGAAATTCCATGGAGCATAAATAATGTAAAAATACTTGAGGTGAAACTTCTTGTTCGTATAGCAAATCAGTTATTCTATGACAACTCAACATTAGGCCCAATAAAAAATAAATTAGTTCATCATCACTACATGTCTTCTATAGTACTGGGAAAAAAAATTCTTTTTTTTAGTGATATAGTATATTGCCAAATCTCAATCATGTATTTGAATTTACTTAAAGCACCAGCAAACAACTCTACAAGGGTAATAATTGGCTTTAGCAAATTAAAAAATAAAAATAAAATGCCTCCCTCCCTCCCTCATCACTTTTCCAGCCTTCTGTACAGCAGATAGATAGGATGATAAACTAATCATTCTTTTATTGGGTCTTAAACAATTTTATTTAAATGTTTACTATTTTATGTAGGTAATTGGACCAATATAACTTAGATTCAACTTATTACACCCAGACTCTGGGGGAAAAAGTTTTTATATTTTTAAGATACAAAAAGGTATATAATCGAAAAACTTGACAACAGGTAATAAAATACATATTTTTTAATATTTAAAAACTGGAGGAAATTGGGGCGTAGCTACCCTTTTCCACCTTTTCAGTTGTGCAATATAACAAAACATATTTTTTCTCCAGAGCCTGGCTTTAAAACAAGATTTACTACCATAAGTATTAGTCCATAAAATATCATAATTTATATGAAATTCAAATTTATCAGATAGAATAGAACAGGTTATTAACTAGACCATAGTGGGGGGTTTTCTTTCAAGAACTGAAGCAAAATTATGAAAAATATTTACCAATTGTCCTATAAATCCAAGAGGTATTTAAATGACGTAGAAAACATCATAAGAACTGCTGCAAGGAGACTATTTTAGAAATGTTCAGTAGAAAATATCTTACTCATGGAATTCTAATTCCAAAGCCAACGATTTGCAATCTCCTGTTCCCATATCCTTACCAAGGGATATCATTGAAGGATACTTAACATGTAGGCAAAATCTAAACTGGGAAAACTTTCTCACGGCCACCTAAATAAAAAGATTGTGTTTTCAGTCTAGTGTAACCTACAACTGGTAAAGTTGTCAGTGTGTCACACACTATAATACATGCTGTTACTCAACCTTATAAAGCAAATAAATTATGCCAAATAATTAGGAAAGTGTAAACAGTTAAAGCATACTAACTATAGAATTCTCCATAGCTAGTCCAAAGTAAACTTAATACATCCAATGCTTAGGTATTCAGAATCTGAAAAACAACAAAGGATCATTAGATTCAAAATATTTAAAAAAAAAAACTGTACAGATAACATGGTATTATATTAGCATGGCCTGAGACCGCCATTTTTCCCACGCTGTGAAGCAAGGCACACAATTGTGTATTGCAACAGCCAGCCCGTGGGAAATTCTTCACACTTGATTAATCAACTAAGGGATCTCAGCTCTTATGCACTTCAAGCATCCTCCTCTTGCTAGCTTAGCTTTTCAATCAAAAAAACTGTTTAGAATATTTTAAAATCAAAACAAATAGAACTCAAACCTGTTGTTTAGAGATAATTTAACCTTGAATATATTAATGATGGGCCTGAAGTAATTGATATTTTATTTTCAGCAGTTTTCAATCAAATCAATCCAACAGTGACAATATCAAACCAGTAATTTGATTTTATCATTACTAAGATATCCCCTTATGTTCATTATTACAAATGTTTTTAAGGTTAACTTTCATTATCAGGAATGAAAAGTGCAAGTACCTATAATACCCAGCTATAATTTAAAGTATTGATTGCCTAGCACAAAGCTAAACATACATTCTGAGATAGGATAAGTGCTTTCAAATAAATTTGTTTAAAAAAATTATTGAGATGAAAAAGCAAGTAGAGGTAAGATTTAGAAGCCTATACATTGCCCAAGTAGTTTTACTGTACCTTCAAAATAATCATGGATTATGTACTGGAAATTCAGTGAGATTAAACAGTAAAGTATAATTTTTATGGTTTAATTAAATTTAGCTGGTGAAATTTAATGCTAGGAAACCATTTTGTAGTTTTTTAAGTTGGATTTCATATTAATAACAATATAGCCATGTAATTCATTAAATGCTCTTTTAGTTTAAATACTCTAAATGTCAATTGTATTAAATTCTATTGTTTTATTTTTAAATTCCATTCCTTATTTTATTTTATTTTATTGAGCTCCCACAGGACTCAGATACTAAGTGTAAACTACATCAATTATGCAGTTAGGGAGTGGAGCTGGAGCTATTTTAAGTCATGAGAAAAAAATCCTGTTCTTGTTTGTTTGTCAGATTTAATCCCAAGACAATCAGATTTTAAGGAAATCTAATCTAACAAACCACAGCAGCTCATCAATGGAGTGTGAATACTATTAACATAATTGTCCACATTAACAAATTTTATGTTATCAACAAATAAACTTGATATGTCCATATTTGGGTATAATATGACATCATCATGTCCATATATGGGCACATTACACAAAATTGAATATTGTTTTGTCAGAATTAAACCTAGTACAGTACTTCACATTAGAAAGTGAGCTTATATCCCATTACAAGCTCTTTCCACACTACAAACATTTCTTGAGACAAATATTTGTGATCTGTTCATACACAAGCATGATGATGTCATATGAGCCAGTCACAGTACCTGTCGCATATACATACAACTTTAACACCTATCAACATTAAGCTATATTTAATAAATGTTCTTTTTACAAGAAACAAAAAAGAAAATGCATAAAATATTAGAGAGATGAATTGAATGCTTATGATTCCAATTCTGAATATTCTACAAATCATTCCAGGCACTAAACAGAGCTCAAGTAACTAACAGCGCACAAATATATACTGTATTAAGCTGCAGAACAAGATAAAGTTTGATTACAGTCATTATCGGAAGTTTGGGCTTCACCATAGTTCTTCCGGTGTAACTTACTACAGTTAAGTCCTAACCTCTGCCAGGGGAACTTTTTTTGCATTTCTGGATCTTCCACTGGTGTTTAACCTAGAAAGATTCTTAGTTAACCTTTATCAACTGGTGAATGGAAAAATTAAAAACTAAGTTAATGCCTAAGAAAAATATCTAAAATCTTATTTTTGTTTTTGTGGAAGGGGCAGGAGAAAGCAGCATTTTGTTGTCCTATTTCAAATATTTTTTGTAGTGGCAGTTTGGCGCAGCGTTTGAGGTTTGGGCTTTCAATCGTAAGGTCTGGGTTTCGAGTCTCTGCTGTGCAGATTCGCTCATGTCCTTGGGCAAGACACTTTAGCTGCATTGCTTCAGTACACCCAGCTGTATCAATGGGTACCAGCTAACTGCTGGGGACTAACTTGCGATGGACTAGTGTCCTGTTCAGGGGTGGTACAACTCTCATCCGCTTCACACTACAGAAACTGAGGTTAAGCTCCAGCCATATGAGCCCCAGTGGCTCGAAAAGGATTTAGTTAGTAGTTTATTTTAAATATTTGAAATGAAAATTAGACAACAAAAATATTTGAAACTGGACATTTTGGCTGGATCCTGGGGACCTATGGCAGTGCCAGTACAAGAGCAACTATCCCACCTTTCATGCAAGGGTCATGCAAGGGTCATGCAAGGGTTATCCAAGGATTCGAGAGATCAGACTCCCATTAAATAAGAAGTAAATTAAAAATCAGCAGGCTGTCTTCTATTATGGCTTGTAAAAGCTGGTAAGGGGGCAAAGGTTGTCCTTGGCCTAAATGATATCCAAATGCTAGCATACCTAATCAACAAAACATTGATTTGAATTTAAAATGTAATTTTCAAGCATCATCAGAAACACTGACTATTTAGAGAGCCAACAGTTGATCTACAAATCAATTAAAAAGGGCAAATAACATCTAGGCAGGTTAGGTATGATTTCAGTTTACCTAGGCCTGGCATAACCTAGGCCCTAGGTCTAGGACAGGTACTCACCGTAACACCACTAAATTATTTAAGTGGCGCTGAGGGCTGGCGGGCCGTTTCCGACCCTTTAATAGCCCCCTTGTCTTCTAGTATCTTCTCTTAAACTGTGTGGTACTTTCAGCTTCTGTTTTTATTGATGAGGGATTGACTGTTTATATTTGGCTATTAATAATAAATATTGTATAAAAACTGGTTTACTTTTATAGTTTTTTTTTTTTTTATAGAAAATGTATTTGAAGTCACAAAATTGCATTGTTATTTTTATGCTGTTTAAATAATTGATGTGGCAAAAAAACAATTTTTTTTTTATTCCCGCATCAATATTTCCCGAATTTTTTATGCGGGCGGGAGTGATAATCTAATATATTTTTCTATTTGCCCTTAAGTACCCCCTGATTCTTCTTATTTCTAAAGTAGTTTAAAATTAAAGGCTATGATGAGACGTTCTTCTTAACAAGCCAACAAAAAAAAAAAAAAAATGTAGGCCTAACCTACATTGTTAAATAAGGCTCTAGCTAGGCCTACCTAGTACTAGGCCTACTACTACTAGTAACTGTTATAGTCTACTGCCTACTACTCCGGGCCTAGGCTCCTCCTATCTAGGCCTATGCCTACTACTAGTACTACTACTAGCTTAGGGCCTAGGCTAGTTAGTAACACAGGTATTCATAAAATTCGAGATGCATGTCTGATATTATTCAGGACAACATAGGTCACAAATAAGGGCTAGCTATCAGCTTCACGTGTCGGCACAAATCTTTTATAAATTATTTTAGGCGTGGTGACCGTACACAAATTAGATTCAACCCAGGGCAGGACTGGACTGCTTGACCTCTTCCACCGCAATCTGCAGGCCTACCATACCCCATCACACACGCCCGACATGAACTTTTGTAGTAAACAAGTTTTAAACTTCAGGCATTTTCAACTATACCACGATTGAGTGATACTATAATCTATATATTGCATGCAAAAACTGTCAATTTAAACAACTATTAGAGTTTGATCTCACCTTGATTTGAATATATGTGAAAATCTCTAAATTTACTCTCTATTTCTTCCAGCTACCAACAAAACAAAGCGAGTGAAGTGTCACTGTACGATGAAAAACTTGCGCCCTCAATCAGATAAAAATCACAGCGCTTGTCCCTGAAGTTTATTTCCCACGCTCTCCTTCTCTCCTCAGCTCTCCTCACTTGCATGCTTAGTAAATGTCACGTGAACTGATGCTTACCACTGGTTTGTCGGGGAAAATGAATAAAATAGTGTGGCCACTTGAACATTGGGGAGAGGTTTCTTTATGTGAATTATAGATACAAATATGTTTGCGGGGGGGGGGGGGGAATTGAGATGCCGCAACCAGGGGGGAACGACGGGAGATCGATCGTCCCCCCGGACGAAATAGCAGGGAGTGGGCGTGGTCGGGTGACACTCATAAAAAGTCTAGGCATATTTAATATAGGCCTATACATATATTTTTTTTCCCAGACAAAAAACAAGAAAGTACGCTATATCGGAAATCTTTGTATTGACACTTTTTATCGGCTGTTAGGCATGTTCAATCCTGTTCTATTTTCTCTATGGCTTAATGTATACAACCATGGAAAACAGTAGTTTTAAAATGGGTGTGTACATTTCATTTCCTGTTGTTGAGGTTTAGGCAGGGGTAACGGCAGCGGGGGCCGGGGGGAAGATCCCCCGACGGGGAGAGCTCCCCCCCCCCCGTCGGGGAAAAAGCACAATTCGTCGGGGAGAAAAAAAATTGTATTTTCTACGTATAGTAGCCTCTTTAAATCGATTAAATAAGCCTTTGAAACCCCAAAATTGTCAATTTTCGAGGGCTTCGCCCCCAGGACCACTCGAGACCACGCCCACTGTGGTTTCGTCGGGGAAATCTGACCCCTTGTCGGGGCATGTGGTGGGGGAGAGAAGGCTAATGACCTGGGCCGGATGCAGGATTCGGCGATAGGGGGTGCGTGAGACTCCACACCACTGAAGCCCACCATGGTTTAAGCGCTGAGGTGCGAACATTTTGAGAATATGGACCTCTCAAGGTGCCCGTTTGCACTCTCATATTTTTAATTTTTTTTTTCTTTCTCAGGTTGACCAATGATCATTTATTCAAAATCACATTATAATACAGTACAACATAATAAAAAAAAATAGTAATTATTATAATAGAGAATCAACATTAAATGCAAAATAATAATCTGTCAAATAGAGTAAAATAATAATCCGAATATCTTAAAAATCTTAACGGTCCATGTTCATAATGATAAAAATAATACTTCAACAATACAATTCAACAATTATTTTCTTAATACAATTTAGTGGGAGCGATCGCACCGTCTGCACCCCCACCACCCTGCATCCCCCAGAGGACTAGGCTCAACGATCAAGTGAGAGGCCTCGATGATTAAGTGAATGCTCACTTGGTAATTTATATCAATTTGAGGGCTGGAGTGGGTCATTTTTGTCTTGTTCTTTTTCACCCAGACTATATGGCACTGCAGTAGCGGATTCAAGTGGGCCCGGGCCCCCCTAAATTTTTAAAAAATTAAAAAAAAATTGAGAAAAAAATGAAAATTTTACTCAAATTTTGAGTCTAACAGTGCCATTTCCGGCCATCTCAGGAGCAGATTTTTTTTGGGGGGGGGGGTCCGAGCCAAGGGGCCGACGAAGCCTCTGTCGACAGACGGCCCGGAATAAAAACTCTCTTTTAGGGTTCACGGGGAGAGTTTTCATGGCTTATTTATGGTCCAAAATGTGATTTTAGACCACAATAGGGATTGGCAGTCAAAATAACGTTACAGTATTTGGATAGGCAAATTATTTTTTATAATTATATCTTGGTATGTCATTCACATCAAAATAAAATATACTATATAGGCCTACACAATTCATTGCAGTTGAGAAACAGAATTACAAAATTAAGTTGTTAAAATCTTAAACGATTAATATAAACATTTTTAAATTTGTGATTGTGATCCGACGATCTAATCGTGTGTCGGACGACAGGGATCAGGCATGTCCGATGGAGGAGAAAATTCCACCTGCCCCGCGCTGGCACCGCTACTGCATCTCGGCCTTATGAAACCAAACAAAATTCTTCACACTTGGTTAGATTTTTTTCCTAAAAAATTAAATCTTACACCAGACTTATCTTTATACAGAAAGGTTCTTAAATCTATGGCCCAGTCTAGTTATAATACCAGAATTAAAAGTGTATTCAGATGCTTAGGCCTACGAACTTCTCCGCTGTTCCGATACTCTGGATATTATTGTTGGTGACAGTGGCGTATCTATAAGNNNNAGGGGCGCAAAAGTGAATGGGGGGGGGGGGGCTTGATGGTTATGTGAAGGGAGCTCTCTCAAAATATATAATAAGGTAATTATTTTAACTACTTGAGCGTGATTTGCGGGTGGGGCGACTGGGAGGGGGAGTGTGAGTATTTGTTTGGGTCCCATGCATATCCTTAGATACGCAGTGGTAGTGACCCAGCCACAACTCAACTCACACCCAGCTCAGTATATTTGGGTTGTATGTTGAAATATTTACTGAAGGTTTGTGTATAACAACAATATAGGCCTATTTTCACATGAAGATATGTTAAGAGGGCGCCCTCCGCTTTCTCGAATCTAAACAGCCATTCTGTGCCAACGCGATGCGCTTCCTGTGCCGTAATAGCGGCCTACTGTAGTTTAATGACGAGTTTAATTTAATTTACTCCTTTTAGCAGTTGAATTTCATGTAACTATTTTTATAGCTTTTTTTTTTTAATGATTTCATTGTTTTATAACCAATTTCACATTATATATACTGTAATAATTTACTATTTTTAAGCAATTCTTTAATCCTTGTCGGTAGGATGAGAGCCCCTCTCCTCGATAGCAAGGGCATTCTTCACATCCTGCCATACTATCAGACCCTTAGTGGCGCTTGTTATTTTGGCGAAATAAATGCTATAGGCCTATAACCACCAACCAAAAATAATTAAATATGCCTATCAGATGAGTCTATTAATACATTCAAAATACAAAATGTAATTAAGTTTTCCAAGTTTAGTCCTGTCCACGAACCTTGCCTTAATATCCCATTTTATTTAGTAGACCCTTTTATATTATTTTCGATTACAACTTACTATGTTGTTCATGTTTGTGTAGGAAAAACAATAATAAAACAAAATATTCTAGTATTTTTCCTTGAATTTTACAGTCTTGCAAAGAGGAATGACAAGTAATTTTCGAGATCATAATCAAGTAATAACCCCAATGTTTTTATCAACATTGTCTTTTAACTACCAACTTAGAATTATAATATTGCGCAATGACTAATGACAGTGGGTCTGTACTAGAAGAAAGGTATTTTTGACCTACAAAAAGTAAAATCATTTGATGGTATATAAATAATTTTAAAAAATTAATAAATGCAAGAAAAGATAATTACTACAAAAAAAAAAACAGTGCAGCTTACATCGCAAGTACCGTATATACTCGCGATAAGGCGACCCGCGTATAAGACGATTCCCGAGTTTGGGAAGATTTTTGGGCGATTTTTGTATGTCGGGCGTATAACGACCCTCTGTTTCATGGACTGAATTCCTACTTTGTTCTGCATTTTATGGTCCTGATACTGCATCTAGCTCGAAAAACGGAGCCAAATGCAAAGCAAATCTTCCAAATAATACCATTTTATGAGTCTTGAAATGTTCATCAACATCTTATTTCTCCGTATTTAAATTGCGTTCATTCATACTAATACTAACATTTAGTAGTTTCATTGCAGTAGTATAAATTTGCGCCTTACGGACGATCTGTACATAAGACAAACATGATTTTAATGTGTATGTCGTGTGGCGTATAAGACGACCCCTTGTTTCTTGATCGTAATTTGCTATTTTAAGCCTCTTCTTATACGAGGGTATACAGTATACGGTATTTCAAGGGTTATTAAAAAAAACACTCTAAAAGATGTATATTTTATATATTGGGTTGAACCTAGGGGGAAATGGGGGGGATAGATCCCCACCAAAAAAAATAGAGAAGAAAAGAAAGGGGAGAAAGAGGCCAGAGAGAGAGAGAGAGAGAGAGAGAAAATGTATTCAAAATGCTGCATATGTATATTGTATAAAAGTTGTAATTGGTGTAGTACTCGTATTGATTATTTCACACTACTGTCAATATCTTGTTGATGATTTTGTTCTTGTACTGTACATACAACTCTAATTTTATATTCAGTTGGCTATATGCTGAAGAAGAGAACATGGGCTCCCAAAATATGGGTCTCCTTCCCATTAAAGACCACTTTTAGGACTGGGGGTTTTCATGGTCTTTAGCTGGATTGGTCTCTAATTAGAATAATAAGATAAAAGACATCTGTTAATTCAGGAACACAGAGAAATGGTCTTTAATAGGGTCTTATGCAATCCATAACATGCATAGGCCATATTAAATAAAGGACTAATGCTGCTAAAACTAAACAAGGACAGCTGCTCTGAAAGAATACCATGGGTTTTCACACATCAACTACCATTTCGTGATTGAAATACAAAATTTCAATTTTATTAATACTGTATATTTATTGTTAAAAAATATCTGTTTTGAACTAAAGTAGCATTATCAATACCTTATTGGTAAAAATGACAATTTTTATGTTTTGTTAATCTTCAAGCACTCAGCAGGTAAGACCGTCAAGACAACAATTTTAGTTGACATGACTATATATGGGCATATAACAGTTTTTTTGACAGATCTGTTTATATCTCATGAGATGACTTTTAAACAGTTCTCGTAATCTCCAGATTTAATTCTCTGGTATTTTTGACAGTAAACCAGAGTCCGGAGCAGAAGTCATTATTAGTTTTTGGACATCTTTGAATTTTGGGTTTTTAGAATCCTGAAGTAATTGCAAGAGCATTGCCTCACTGGTCGTGATAAATGCCCCACTTTGCCTCATCCTCTCAATTGCAAACATCCTGTTGAAATAAAAAGAAATAATTTTAAGAAGAATGAATAACTAAATATTTGCAACAATGAGATGGAACAAATGACAAGAAAGAAGTGGAGATGGGTTAGAATTAATGACTACAGATGGACCAGGAAAGTCAGGGGTGGATCCAGAGAGGGGGGCTGAAAGGGGGCCCCCCCGAATGTGAAGCTGATCAAGATTGACACTAGCTTAGTGGGGTCCGACAGCATGCCCCCACAAAATTTTTGTTTTCTAGACACCCAAAATAACCTCTAAGGTGTTCTGGGCAATCAATTATTTCTACTGCTTTTTTCTCTTTTTATTTCCTTTGGCAAAAGTGGGGGACTGGGGCCAGCCCCCGCCCCCTTAAATCCACCCTTAAAAGTAACCGAATGAATACCCAGCATAGAAGGTAAATTAAACAAGTAAGACAAACTGAGGTGGACAGACGACATAAGAATGTACACTAAGTACTGGTTCAGAGAAACATCTGAGATGTCAGAAAGAGGTGGAAAATTTTAGAAGGGTATGTTCAACAGTGGACTGATGTTCCCTGAAGAAACTAACTGAAAATGACTTTTATTGTCCACTGAACCGTTGTAGAGTGTAATAATAAGCAATTAGAGGGCTGTGCATAGTACGCTATCGGAAAGTTATTATACAAAGGTTAGATTTAATGCTTGAGGGCCTCTGAGGGCCTGCAAGGCCCGAAGGAAATTTTTGAAAGCATTAAATCTAACCTAACGATTTTTCAAAATTTATTTCTCGAACTGTTTGCGGTGACAAAAAATGTCAAGCTGGCAGTGCACTATGTGGAAATATATTGAATTGTTGTAGATAGGCAAATAACATTGGGAGTTGCAGTGATGAAGTCATGATTGACTTATATAAATTATTATTTGTTTACATACAGATATGTACTTCCAAATGACACTTCTTATGGGGTTTTCTGCATATACTTCTTCACAAATTTATCAGTAAATATCTAATTTATAGGTTACTTCAGAATTGGGCATAATAATGCAAGCATACCTGTCAACCATGCTTCTGGAAGAGCACCCGTCAGCAATAACATGAACATCAAAATCCCGCTCCAATAAATCCAGTGTAGTCTGCTGGATGCAAGCCTGTGTTTCAATTCCGCACAAGATAACTGACTTTGTACCCTGATCCTTAAGCTGCTGCTCAACTACTGGTGACACCATGGTGAAGCAGGTTTTAGCGTGTACCTCATACTTAGAACGATCAAGACCTATTTCTGGGACAGTTGGGCCAAGTCCTGTGGATTATGTTAAACATTTCATGTTTAAACAAATATATGAATACTATAAATACAAATGTTTGAATCAGCTGCTGAATATGAACTGCCTCTTCAACCGCCAATATAGGAAGATTTGTACAGAGTGCCATTATACAGCCGTCGTTGAATTGTAAATGAAATTCAAATGTTACCTATATTGTTATACATAATGTATTAGTTTCTTTCTGAGACAGCATCTAAAATCCAGACAAACAGATGCATGATGCTTAGATAGATAGATAGAAATATATTCTCTATTCTGGATACTCAGTCAGTATTGTTACACTGTTCTTCCCTGAGGTCCAGTGTATGATCTTAAATTCATTACATTACAAAACAAAATTAAAAGAAAAATGCATACAAGAAACAAAAGAAAAACAAATGAGTAAATTAAATGAAATTTTTAAAGGATTTTATGGAAAGGGAATGAATATTGCTACGAATGTCTGAGTAATACTGAGCAATATTTAAAAGTTCTTTTTCCAAAATCACTTTGCCATTGTGGTAAGACTAAAATGTTTTTCAATTTACTTCTTGTATTTATGCTATAGTAGGCATCAATCAATTTGTAAAAAATTAATTGAAGTAACAGTGCCCAATAAGCATTTAAATGTCACTATAAGAATAGTATGTTCCCATTGTTGGCTTACATCCTTCCAGTTAAGAGATTCCATAAGATCATTAACAGGTGGTCTAATATCAATAAATAATTCTGGCTAGCCTATTTAGTAAAACCTGAATTGAATTAAGATGAACAGCAGTGCAACTGAACCATACTGTACTACAATAATTGAAAAAAGGTAATACAAAAGGATTTGCTAAAAGCCTAAAAAAAATTTGTTAAAAAATAACACCAATAATAATAATAATAATAATAATATTTATTGACATTACACTTTTACATCAGTGGCAGCACACAAGAAAGTGGCGCAGTGAAACTTAAACTAATGAACAAAGAGTAAAACAACAACTTAAAGCTAAACAAATGAAAGAACTTAACAAAAGAAAATACAACTTGATCATTAATACATTGAGACATTTTGGAACAAAAATTTTCAATATTATTATCCCATGTAAAGAAAGTATCAAAGGTAAAGTATTTGAAATTATCAACTCTATCAATTACATGACTGTTTATTGATAAAGCAATATTTGAAAAATTTGTAAAATTTAATTTTGAATAAAATATAAATTTTGTTTTAATGAAATTAATTGTTAATTATTTATATAAACCATTTAAATATGTTGACTACATGTCTGTCAATGATAGATTGTAATTTATTTGAATTAGAGCAAAGATACTAGAAATACAAGATAGAGTTCTCCACACAAAAAAAGTGTTCCACCGTGTTCCACTGAAACGCATGGTGGGAATACGAAAAATGGGATGCCCCCTACAGCTGGATCTAAAAAAAATTGTGCCAAACTTTCGTTACCAAGTCGTCGCGTATTTTATTATCAATTCTCAACAAAGATACTAGATATAAAAACAAACTGGAATAGACACCCAGACAGTGACCTTATACACATCTAGACTTGGTGGCGGTAGAAATCGTTGCTATTATCCAAATAATACACAAAACAATTAAAGCATAATCATGAATCAGTAAAGAATAAAACAACAATACAGCGCAGAATCGCATGACCGGACGCACTCTTAGTTAAAAAGTTTTCCTCCATTAGTGGAAAAGGAAGTGCGCCTTTTGCATCTGGATATACTTAGCAACAGAAGGGCGCCCTGTACGTTGGGCACGAAGTATAGGAAACTTGCATGGTTAAAAAGGGCGCCGCCTACGTTGGGCACGACTTCCGCCTCATTTTTACAATGCGAGAACTCTATCTTGTATTTCTAGTATCTTTGATTAGAGGCAGAACAAAGAACACTAGTATCATCAGCAAAAATTGCACATTTTGAATCAGGAGTGATAACTTCAAGCAGGGAGTTTACATATATAATAAAAAGAAGGAGGGCCAAGAATTGATCCTTGAGGGAATGAATGATAATACACGTCCACTGTACTCCCATTTTACCCATAGTTACTCAGGTATCAGAC